TCGGGGGCCCCCTCTCTGCCCAGCTCTCCAGCCTATCCACGTTCCTCTGAACGGCAGCACAGCCCTCTGGGGTACCAGCGACTCCTCCCAGTTCTGTATCCTCAGCAAACTTGCTGAGGGTGCACTCTGTCCCTTCCTCCAGGTCACTGATGACTACATTGAACAAGACTGGACCCAGGACTGACCCCTGGGGGACACCGCTAGCTCCAGGCCTCCAACTAGACTCTGCACCATTGATCACAACCCTCTGAGCTCGGCCATCCAGCCAGTTCTCAATCCACCTCACTCTCCACTCATCCAGCCTGCACTTCCTGAGTTCACCTACGAGGATGTGATGGGAGAGAGTGTCCAAAGCCTTGGTCAAGTCCAGGGAGACAACATCCACTGCTCTGCCCTCATCTACCCGGCCAGGTGTCCCATCGTAGAAGGCTCTCGGGTTGGTCAAGCATGATTTCCCCTTGGTGAATCCATGCTGACTACTCCTGTTCACCTTGTTGTCCTCCACATGCTTAGAGATGGCCTCCGGGATGAGCTGTTCCACCACCTTTCGAGGGATGGAGGGGAGGCTGACAGGCCTGTAGTTCCCTGGCTCCTCCTCCTTGTCCTTTTGGAAGACTGGGGTGACATTGGCTTTCTTCCAGTCCTCAGGCACCTCTCCTGATCTGCAGGACCTTTCCAAGATGATGGAGAGTGGCCTAGCAATAACACCTGCCAGCTCCCTCAGCACTCGTGGATGTATCCCATTGGGGCCCACGCATTTGTGGATGTCAAGTTTGGACAAAAGATCTCTAACCTGATCCTCCTCAACCAAGGGAGAGTCTTCCTTCCTCCTGGCCTCCAGTACTGTAAGAATCCACAATATCATCTTGTGCCTGTCGTAACCTGGCTGCAGGCTGATCTGGGCATCTTAGAGCAGGGCTGCACTGCCCATGGAAACACCTACCATCCTCTTCAAGCCAACCGGAACCCCCTGACAAATGAAGATTGTAACACAAATGAGAGAATAACTGCTAAAATCAGCCTGCCTAGGGATTTGAAACACTGGAAATACAGCAGGATGGTGTATGTTTAGTATGTGGCTCGCTGCTAATATTTATATCCATTTCCAGAGGGTGAGTGGACACAGTACTTGTCCTCCTGCCCTTGGAGGGGAAGAGGGTGATGGCGAATGAGCATCACTCATTTGCATGGTGAGAAATCCCTTCACTGCTCTCACCTTGCTAAACAGCGCTCACCCTAAGGGACCTCTTTTGGGAAGTGATGTTGCCACCTGGCTTCCTTGAGCATTGTGATCTGCTGGAGTCCTTGAAACAGAATGAAAGTGTAAAATAAGCCAAAATATGTCAAAGCCACACAAGTTTTTGTTAAATGTGCACACATAGCCATGGTCTTCTGGGCGCCAGGATTTATCCAGTGGTAAGAAAACTTTCCCTGCAGGCAGCAGGGCTGGTACCCATGAAATGACATGGGAAACACCTCTGGGAGTTACCGCGCATGTGAGCTGGCCGCTGCAGATCCCGAGAGGTGCTGCATCAGTCCTGGGAGCTCGCCTGGCCTCCCACGTCTGCGTCCCTCCTCCTGGGCTGGCTTGACTTGTCTCCTGGAACTGCAGGGATCTCCTAGCGATCTCTGAGCTCACCACACTCTCACCCGGCTAACTGCTCCTCACACTTTATATCCTGTTTCCTTCCTTGGAGATCGTTAGGGATTTGCCCTTGTTTCCTCGGCAACCTGATCTAATTTCAGAGTTTCACATACCATCTTCATTATGAAGTTTATCTAATCCAGCCCTCCCTGCTCTCAATCTGCTTGTGCATCTCCAACCATCTCGCTGATATGTCCTGAAATCCTCATTGTTCCTTCAGACACGGACCTTCCCAGACACGGATCCCCTTTTCACCATCTTTGATGAAATTTAAGCAAGTCCGTAACCTTCTTTTTCAGTAGGAATGGCCATGTGGTTCACTGCTTTGCTGAAATGGGGCCTTAATTTTTCCTTCTTGCATCTCAGGCCTGGAACAGCCTCTTTCTTCTTCGTGCGTAACACACACACAAACACACACCTCAACACACTCTCTCCTGTTTCACTTGCAGATATGCTCCCAGGCAGAGCCTGCACTCTGCTGTTATCTAAGCCTTTGCAGGAGAGTGGCAACTGTGCTGTAGATTTTAATTTCTTTAGACCATGTGCAACTCCTGCATACTTGTATGGATTTATTTATTCAACATGATCCTTTTCTAAAGAATAATCCACAGAGTAGGGCTTTTTTAGAAGTTTTTTTTATCTCCATGGTCCTTTTTCATGTTGCGATAAAATACACCTAAGCCCATCCATGCACAGTGATGTTCTTAACTAACTCATTGTAGGACTGTGTACAGATTGTTCTGAATGTATGTTCCTCTTTCTGGACTCATATAATATACATTTTACTGATCTGTAAAAGATATCCTGCTTTTTTTTTTCCCAGCATTATGAATTCTCTTAGCACTCTCATGGGATATGAAAGTATCAAAAAATCAGAATGTGCTGGCTAAGGCAAAGGTCTGACTTGTGTGAAAAACAGATGGATAATTACATCCTTCTGAAATCCAAATCTGAAGATCTCCTAGAAGATACCTGAACTGAACAAAACCCCTTCATGCTTAGGTTTCAAAGTAGATTTGTTGTCTTATTCTGTCAAGATCAAGATGCAGAAAATGCATCCGGTAGTACTGCAGTCAACACTCAAAAAGGCAAAAGCTTTCCAAATGTCAGCTCAGTGCAGAGCTTCTCTATTAATTACATGCATGCACAGGTCTTCCAGACAGATGAGGTACGTTAACCACACAAGTGAAATCCTGCCCTGGAGACCGGATAACAGGCACAATGTGACTGGGGGAAGTGCTTAAGGAAAATGGGCATGACTGTTTCCCTATGGCTTTCATATGGTTGCTTGGTGGGTTGACTAGGTTAATTCATCTGTTAGCATAGGGGTTGAGATGCCACTCGTTTTGGTTCAAGCGAATATGCTGGAAGTCCAACTGCAGCAGGGGAAGAGCCAAAGCAGGTTCTTCCAGAGAGCTCTCTGCGGGGCAGCGGGAGGGATGTGTTTCAGGGGGTAATTACTGGCAAGTCTCTTAAAACACCTCAGTGTGACACAGCAGGAGGCCACTGTGATCAAAGAAAGAAGTGGGTTTTTTTTAAGCTTACTTTTACTTCTACTGCTACTTTCTACAAACTAGAAAACTGCAGAGAGAAAGATCTCAGGCCATGCACAAAGTAAAGGCTGCGCAGCACTGTGGACGTCTTTGGCTCAAATGCAGCATTGTCCAGCACGGATGCCTGTGGGTGTTATCCTGAAAATACTCGCACATCTTTCACAGAAGATTTGGGAGCAAGTACTACTGCCTGCAATTTAGTTCTGCAGATGTCAGAAGCCATTCAATAGATATATCCATCAGTAATTGTTTTGTGATAGCAGTGGGAGCAGAGAGGAATGGGAGAAAGCAAAAAAATGGACTGTTTGACAGTAGAGTCACCAGCCTTTCATTATTCCGCAAGACTGTTGTGTGGTTTTGGTGACAAGCAATCTAAACAGAAGCCATTCATCACCTTTAGAAGCACTATCAACAAGAAAACAAAAAAGCATAACCTGTCACTACAGAAGGATTGCCTCCTCCATGCCCTCCCAGAGATAAGCCATGCTACAGATACAGGTCTACTGAGCAGTCTCTTGGTGCCAGCCCATCCATTAGTTGTACGGCCATAGGCTGTGACCTCCCTGTCTCCCGGACCAGAAGATGTTGTTGGAGGTGATTCTGGATCTCATAATGTTTTGATACTTGTACATGCAGTTGGGGGACGTAAGAGGGAGGAGCAAGACCAATTTCCCCTCAAGCTAGAGGGTCTCCAGAAGCCACACTCACTCCAGATGGCAGGAGAGCAGGACAGGAGCAGCAGTGTTACTGCTGTCAGGGGTGTGCATGTGTATGCACGTGCGCACACGCTGACCTCCCTGCACGTGGGGGAGGCTCAAAGCTCCTGCAGCACTAACCACCGTAACTGGTCTGTGTTTGGGTCAGAGACAGTGAAAATCCATGGCTGAGGTCTGTCTAGCAACCAGGGCTCACCACGCTGACCCCGGCACAGCGCTAGAGTTCATTATAATTGAAACACTTGGATCATCTGTGATTTTTAAAGAGCACAGGAGGTTTTTCACACGAAAAAGTGTGTAAACTCCATTTCTTTGGTCATACCTCACCTTTGGTACTTAAATAGTCCATCCCTCCACGTGAGCTGCAACTACAGTCATAGTAACCCTCTTAAACTCTTCCTGTCCTAGTAAAAAGGCAATGCAAGAGATGCAATAGGGAAGCAGCGAAGAAGTGCTGCATGCTCTTGTGGAAGGGACAGCCTTTTAGGACTGCACAGCTGTATTCAATTCTTTAATTAAATCCTCTACCAACAAAGGGAAAATGGTCAGCTTTTAAAGGACTGATATCATCACAAAAACACTCCCTGGGTTGAAACACATTTAAGACCATTCTTCTTATCACTTATTTCATGCCCATGAAATACCTTTTATGCCCATGCCCTCTTTTAGCGCATTTTGCTGGGCAATGAGATTTTCCAACTCTAAAAGGCAATCTGAACACTAGAACAAATAAAAGCCTGAGAAAGATTCTGTATTTAATTATCTCACCTTTTATTTTGTTCATTTACACTTCTGGCACTGACAATTCATTGAAGATATTTTTATGTTAAAGACCAAACTTCAGGAAAGCAATCAGAACAGAATTCAATTAAATAATTTGACATCACTTAAGTTTCAGAAAATGTACAACACTTTCATACATTATAGGCTTGACTGGCTGCAAAAGGAAATGGCACATGTTTGACATTGTTAAGAAATAATCTGAACAGACAATTTGACAATTAGTTTTGCCAAAACCTGCTTTGTACTAAATAATGTAACATGCATCCAGGGATTAGAGTATGCCTGATGGCTTCATATGCATGTTATTATTAAAAACAAAAGTACTACTACAAATTTGGTCTCCAATAATATTGCAAATATTCTAAATAGAATTTATCCCAGGAAAATCCAGTTAAAGATTTTGTAGGGTTGCGAGATTCCAGACAAAAGTTGATGCATGACTAGTGCCAATTCCCAGCTATGCCCTGAACCAGCAGGACACTCGAGCACGTAAAGAATTTCAAGCATATGAACAATCCTATTGAGTTCCTAGGGACTATTCAAATACTTAAAATTGAGCAGATGACAGGGGTACACTTGGCAGAGCCTGCGGTGTAAGTCAGAGCAGGCATCCTGGTACCACGCGGCTGTGTCATTTTGCACCTGCTGAGGATCTGTCCCACAAAATTAAGCTTCTCCTGCAGAAGTCACAATGATGGTTGTACATTCAGTTCCCTCCAAAGTCAGTGGAAAGTTTAAGGCAGCAAGAGAAATTTGCCTTTATTTTAACACTTCATAAACTGCTGTTTCATTTATAAGTAAATGGATGTTACGAGTAATTATCACTAATCAGTGCTCACCTTAGTATTTATATAAATATGATGAAATGTCAAACCAATTTTCAAAAAATTATATCCAAATGAAACTGAGGAGCGTAACTGAACCATACCTTCAGCTTCACAATTAAACATGCCAAATCATTCAAATAAAACATACTTTCTGTGTAATGCAAAAAAGTGGGGATTTAGATGAACTCTGGATTCTTGAGGCCTGATTCTGGTCTAACTTACACTGGTGTGAATGAGCTCTATTGAAGCTGACAAGTGAACACCTTTGAGAAAAGGTGCAAGATTAAAAACATGCCGTTGGCTCACACTAACAGGTCATTGTGGTTAAAGTATATTCTCATATACAGAACTCTGAAACACCATTAACACCCATTTACAAAACACTACAGTAATGATTATTGGCACATAAAAAACTCCTTCTCTATATGAAAACATACACAAAATAGGTAAGAATTGCCATTTTCTCAGACTTTTAAAATCTATATATAGTTGCCTTTAGGGAGCTTTACCCCCAGTATCACAAACAACAATATTTCTTCAACAATGTTCACCTAGATTTTACTGTGCTGACATTTTTAACACTGCCACAACCTAGATCACTTTGTGGATTATGCTTAACTGTACTGTACACAAGGCGATGAATATTGATAGAAAACCACTAAGATTTCTGCACAAAAAAATGTGACTTCTTAAAATCCAGAGAACAATTCAGTCACTTTATAGGCAGCAGCTACATGTAAGCTGTAAATGTTACCCGCAATAAAAACACATTTTGCCATAAAGCACATATTGTGGGATTATCTGCTTCTGGCCTGGTACACATAGCTCTATTTTCTTCCCAATGCAGAGGAATGGTTTTGGTTAGCCTGACTCTCTCAAAAAAAGTGCACAAATACCTTACTCTTTAAAGTGCTTAGCAGAACTTTTGTCTTCTCTCTTATTTCTGTTTGAAGACCTCTCTATACCATGAAGACTGTGCCTCTTTCTTGTTTAGTAATGTTTGGCTAGCAAAGCCTCCTATACAAGCAAAATTTCAAGACAACCATGTCAGAAGAATGTTAAAGCTGAGAAGTAGAAAGTTGGGTATAAAGCTGAGAAGTACAAGGTCTATCTTTAATTACCCCTTGCAGGCTTTGGGGCTGCACCCAAGACCCTCATACCCGAAGGAGAGACCCCTGCTCAGTGCCAGGAGTCTTGTAACAGCCCCTGAAAATCAGAACTTCTCTCCAGCCTCAACCTGAGGGACTAAGAAGGGCAAAAGAGATTTCACAGAGGAAAAAAAATACTAGCTTTCTCAACTCGCATGCCATGTTCTCACCTCCGTGAGGTCGTGGGAGTGAAGCACTCGTGCTCTTCTTCCCACTTGTCCTCCCTGGGACCGCCGCTGTGCAGCATGGCCATGCTCCCAACAGTCTCACCGGTCCCTCTCCTCCCGCTCCCTGCTGCAGGACTGGGCAGGGCCGGCCCTATGGCAAGGTCCAGCAGCCGGCCTGGCCCCATCACCGCTGCTACCGGCCCCCAGGCACCCGCACAGCGGGAGAAGCAAGAGACAACTCCTCTACGCTGCCGACGGCTGCCCCAGCCGGCGCGCGACTTGGCAGGGCTCGCGATGTGGCATCTTTGCTCTTCCACCCTCCCACCACTAAACTCCTTTGCAAGTGAAACGCTGCATTTTTCAGCTCATTCACTAGTAAGTCAGCACTAGAACAACGTTCCTCATGACGCACCTTTCTCTTATTACAAAATTTCTGGCATGGCCGTCACTGCAAGTCAGTGGGTGGCAATGTCTAGGAGAATGAACTAACACACAGGAGTAGCAGCTGAACTTCATTTCTCAAAACGAGTCCTAAGGGCTTACTCCGCTGTTATTTTCAAAACAGGTTTGTGTCTGTTTTGAAACTGATTTTGATCAACAAAGTGACAAGGGGAAGAAACAAGGTGCAAATGACCTAAAAAATTATTTTAATTTAAAAATGTTTAACAAACCACTATACGTGAATTAAATTAAAAAGATTTACAATACATCAGGAATTGTTTCTTTTATACTTGCTCTTAGACGAAAATATTTAAAGCATCAGATGTACTAAAATACCTCAAATTATGGTATATAATCAATATGCAATTCATGCAAAACTATACAACCAGTTCTATTAGCATTCCTGATGCACAGAACACCTGAATTAAGTGTGCAGGCCTTGTGAAGAAACTATTTCACATCTTCTGCAGAAAGCTTTTAATAAAACAATGTTGTGCTTAGACACACTACTTACGCTACTTTATAAATTAAAACCCTGTCATAAGAAATTATTCAGCTACATTGTACTTTTATCCTTTGATCTGGAATGTTAATAAGTCTATCCTTAGCAAAATCTCTTAAAACTTAAAATATGCACAAATATAAAAAATCTGTTGCAAAATAGAAACATTTATTTAATTTTCTTCATACATTAAAAATGTTCACAGATTCTAAAAATAAAACCCTAATTGTGTAAGATTAATTTCAAGTATTTATTTGATCTCATTTTTATTACACATAGTGCTTGGTACTAGCTTCGCTGTTTCTAAGGTACGGAATGTTATCTTTGTGTAAAGCAATCCTAAAAGGAAGACTTAAGCCCAACTCTTTGGGGGTGGGAGGGGGGAGTGACAATAAAGAAGCTGATATATTTTGCACCCTCATTACCAGTGGCAATCAGGAATAAAATGCACGTGTTTTAATCGCATCGCCTAAGAAAAAAAGAGCATGGGATGCAAAACTTCAGAAAATCGCTTCAGTAAGATCCAGCTGGTGTGTCAGAAAGTTAGTCTAGGACCGAACACAACTGCATGTCACTTTTGGGAACGTCCGCGAAACAACGCAGGCAAAGAAAGATGGTCTTCGGTTGTTAAAGAGCCCCAGCACTGCCTGCAAAAACCAAACAAAGACACTGATCTTGAGAGAGTGAGCTTTATCGTGCCTTTGCTTTCGTTATGCCAAACAAAAGCAACGGTTTCCTCTAACTGTGGACCTCCGTGCAGCAAAGCGCCAGTGAAGCGCTGCAGCCCGCCTGAGCAGGGACGCTCGCGTGGGCTTTGGCCTGGCTCCTGAAAAGCCTGCCCCAGGGGGACGTGGGCAGGTAGGGCGGCGAGCAGGGGCTGCCGCCGAGGGGGAGCAGAGCCGCAGCCCCTGCTCTGAAAAGCCTGCAAATACCTGCTTCAGTCTGTCCCTGCGTAGGGTAGCGGTAGGCACAGGCTGGACGTTAGAACACCGACTCCTACGCTGCTCCAGATACTGAAACTCTTCTGAATTCGGTCCTGACAGACAGATTTTTTTCAGCTGCAAGAAGCAGCCTCCGTACCCTTACAACTATCCTGTTCTTGTCGGTGACGAGTATCCCTTTTTCTCATTTAAGGTATTGCACCTTTGGTGAAGGCTTCAACGAGGTGACAGCCTAACAGAGACATTCTGCAGGGGCTATATTCGTATACGGCTTGGGAGAGCTGAACATTTTCTACAGCTGGTGCTTATGAGCATAAAACATTGTGCGCTTAAAGGAGAGGAAAGATCTAAGGCCTGAGAATCCAGCTCTCTCGCTGCACCAGGAAACGCTCCGGCTCCACCGTTCACCATGATTCATTTAAAATTCCCTCTGTCTGCTACGCTTTCCCCTTTTACTTCCAGTCAAATTACAGAGGGATGCTTTAAAATGTTTTCTTTTAAAAAATACTTCTTTCATTAATCAAGTAAAAATGAAAATGACCCAAAATAGACCCCAATCACTGAAGTTCAATAATTGAAGAGAGTAAGAAAACCACCTGCATAGCATAACGTCAGACTTCATCAAACTTCATCATTCCGACAACAAAAAAAAATCCATACTTTATCCAACAAAAATAATTTAGTAACAAACATCCAGTCTCATTTTGATAGTACTCTTACATTCAAAATATTTTTCAACCCAAGAAAAGCCCACGAAATATACCTATAAAAGCTAACGAACCCAACATTTTTTACACAATGAAAATAAATGTATTTTTACCACATAAACGGGGAACCCACCATAGGCAGAGGAGGTTTTCCACATTCTTTCATGAAGCAAATATTTCAAAGGTAAGAGTTTGAATTCCTGATGCTTTCAAGCTCATACCTCTGAAGAATTAAAGCAGTGAGGCCAGGGCAAGGGAAAAAAATCATAATATTTTTATGTAGCCGCATAAAACCCAATTTGCCAAGGCAAGTAATCATGTCAGGTGAACAAATACCATAAATATTTTCATTACCATGCTAAAGGCAGTCCACTTGATTTTTGTGCCGGACGTTTTCTTGACAATTTTGCAATGCTTCAGTAAGGTAATTAATATGAGATGAAGGCTTCTGTCCATTGCTAATACTTTTGTTCAGATCCAGTAAGACAATGGTTAATTAAGACCTTCTGAAGGAAAAATTTGCTGGGGTTCATTTACTCTGCACAAATAACCTGAAGGCAATATGATTATTCGTGAGTAAAGGGCACAAGGGGGGAGCTCAGTGTACACTTGGCAGCACAAAACCTTTCCCCTCCTTTTACTCCTTTTAGTTCATGATATTTTGTGTGCAAAACTAGGCACATACCCCAATGTTCAAATGTGGAAACAAAAATGATTTATTCCAACTAACTGAAGCCTCTATTTCGTACTTCGCAATAGATACCAGTTCTTTTGTACATGTGGTCACACACTTAGTTCTGTTTTACTGCTAGCAGAAGGTTATTTTTGGTAGTTTATCTCACAGGTACCAACTACTGATTGTAGTGTATACTCAAAGAGCACCAGCGGCTGGATAACCCCATGTAACCCACACTTATGCCACCCTAGCGAAACACCACATAGGTGAGTATGGCTCTCTACTCATGCTCACAAATAAATAGAAGTGAAATTCTATTAGGGTAAATTAGGGAAATGTTCCCTCTGATAATAAGGAATAATAAGCTCAGTTAATCCTTTTAAATGATTACCATTACAGCAGCTCATGCATTCCTCAGTTTTTGTACGACATAGCAGACCCATATGCTAGGCCGCTATGGAATGGGCATCAGACGGATCTCAGCTGCTTTCTGATTAATTATTGTATTGTTTGTGTCAGCACTGAAGATACGGATAACCACTAACCATCTTGGGAGAGCCTTCTATACTCATTTGGTGCAGGGCATTGCACTGAACACCTTGGGAGGGTGCAGTACTGCACACAGTTGGTTAATTCACATAATCATGGAATTTGATCTTTTTTGGAAGCCATTGCTTTTAGTTATCAAGAAAACACGAGCATACCGAATTGCCTCCCAAATGGAGCATTTTTGAATATGAAGGCATTTTTAACTAGACAGTAGAAAGGAGAACCAGACCAGAAGCAGGGCAGTGAGGTCATCAAAGAGCTGCTCTTCCCTCAGAAGGCTTTTAAATGATTAAATATATCAGCAGCTGAAAATTATTCCACATCAGAAGCATCATTGTCAGAAAGATGGTAATTACTTCCCTTCACCCGAATATACTCAATATACCTCCCTTCATCAGAATCTGACATACCACATGTACATAGCCTGTTTTCAAATAAAGATTCAATTTCCTCTAGTTTTTTCCCTTTAGTCTCAGGAAGGCAGCCATAGATGAAAACGAGTCCCAAGCCAGCAAACCCTGCATAGAGGAAGAACGCTCCTGCAACAGAAAACAATATGCAGGTTACATAACTTTCCATCCTTTCTTCTGTGATAGAACAAAGGAATGACAAAAGCAGGAGGCTGCTTTTACAAAGTCCTGTGATATCTGTAAAAATTTGAACCGTATCATCTATATCATCAAACAACGAACAATTTGACTATGGATGCAGGGGAAGCCTGCTTTATTACATCACCTGAGCAAATTAACAACAGCAATTTCATTTAACACGGAAGATGATATAGATCCTTTTTTGGCAAGTCATTCTGCTGTTAAAATAAACAGCAATTGAATTATTGCATACCCACTAAAAAGACAGATATGAACAGCAAGAACTTACTTTGTTTATCTTAACAGCAAAGGACACACTGAGGCAACCCACAAAATGAGAAATTTTGGCAAAAAGAAATAATCACGAGTAAAATAATGCTTGTGACTCCAGCACCCAATTATTATGTAAAATTATTCTGCCAAGACAATAACCACTGAGACTGAGCCTCTTTCCTCCCATCACCCAGCTTAACTAGGGACCCAGGGAAGGTCTCAGAGGGCCAACACACATTTACCTACAGTTAGTTTCTAGACTGATGACTCCAAGGAATTGACTGGCATGGCTAAGAGTGGCTCAAGGACTCTGTACTAGTACTGATGTGAAGGTCACAACAACTCAGTATCAGTTTAATGTAATTTAGATGACTTGCGCTGGAGTGGCTAAGCAGTAATCTGACAATCTCTCCACAGGCTCCAGAAGATAGGACTTAATCAACAGCTGGGAGCAGGGCAGTAGCATCTTAAAGTACACAGCTATTTCTGCAAAGAACATCTGATAATGGCCTCAGATGCCGTTATGAAATGGAAAATTGCAGATGCTGTACTTTTAAGTGGAAATTGGCATACTTCAGTAAGTTAAAAGGTTTTTTCAGTTTCCATGTTTTCATCAACTCTCTAGATTCTTTCCTATGGACAGAAAGAGATGTTTCTTATGAAAACAGGATCAAACTCTGATCCAGGCAGGTCACGTCAGGTCTCTAGTCCTAGTAAAGTATGTCTGGTCAAGATTTTTGCCTTTACGCTTGGAATTTCACAGTGCAAAACAGTTAAGAGGCCAATATTCTAAAGAAAATCTATGTGCCAATGATAGTACTGCAAACATGGACACAAACTGTTTCTTACCATAGTATGTAAGATATTCAGCTGTATGCAGAAATGTCAGTGACACGAGCACATTGAAAATCCAGTTGACTCCAGATGAACATGCGTTTCCTGTACTTCTTGCCCAAAGTGGGTAAATTTCAGAATTGACTGTCCAGGGCATAGGGCCCATCCCTAAGAATTAGAAAAAAGATCAATCTCAGTTTAACACATGGGCTCACCACCTAACATTTTAGCTGTACAATTTTTTAAACTCACTCTGTGAAAGTAACCATTTGCTTACCAGGCGCAAAGAAAACCAAGTATAAAATAAGGCCCAGAAGTGCTGTCCAAGAGTATGGAGTGGGGCAGAAATTGTATGCCCAAAATAAATCTTCCTTTTTGAATACAGTTTCATTTGAACACCTGGAAAATAACCATGACAATGAATATTAAAGATTTTTCAGGGAAATGGGTGATATCTCAATACAGCACTTTATGTCTTATCAAAAGCTGACAAATGTAAAATCGAGATGAAATAGATGCACCCCTGTTAACTTATCAAGATCATTTGAGGTGAGTCCTACTTTCAGAAGTGTGCCTTACAGATAACATTGTGTTTGACTGCAACAGTATCCAGTAGAAAACATCCCTGAATTTAAACACTTGGCTTGTACCGACAGATCTCTTTCAAATGAATAGTCTTTACTATACAGGAGCAGTCTTACCAAAACCAGCGAGACCTTTCTCATGAATATTACATAGTGGAATAAGAGCGGCAGCAGTAGGACTTCAAGCTAAAGATGCTGCGAGTGAGAAGCACTTAGGTCAAATGGAAGTCAGTCCCTGATTCACCGAGGAACTACATGCAGCAAACTTGGGGCATAACCAGTAAAGTTCATGCGTGTGTGGAATAATTTAGAAGGAGGCAGCGTTTCTAACTAGACACTAAAAAGAAGAGCACGACCAGAGCTAAACCACGTCTGAGCTACTGAACGAAAGAGTGATTTTATTCCAAGGACTATGTAGAAATTACACATTTCTAGGAATAACAGGCTCCAAACAAGGCATTCTCACTTAACTGCCAACATTATAATGTATTCTAAATGGATACTGGTAACTTATTTTTGTAATAAACCTTATTTCTGAAAATTAGAATTTGTGTATAGAGACAACAAATCATAACTGTAACTTCAGTAACTTTTCAGCTGCAATACCCTCAGCTGCTACAGTTGAAAATGTGAGTACTTCCGTGAGAGAAGACACCAAAACCTTGAGGTTTAGGTAGATGCTACCCTTTCATATGCAATGTTATTTACTTGCAGAGAACAGAGCACAGAGAGTTGAATGTGAAGAATATGATCCTCTTATGTCACACTGTAGGAAAAACAGAACAAACAGACCTAAAACGGGTGACAAATCATAGCTGGGCAACGAGCAGTGGGGATGGCAGAGCAACAGACACCCTGAAACGTTCCAGAGGACCTGCCATCCTATAAAACTTGACTTTCAAAAGCAAATTCCAACAAAACAACTTTTCTCCTCTGACTTTTTTGTTAGGAAAAGGCCAGCCAACCCCAGGCTGCTAATGAACACTATTAAGCACCAGGGGTCAACCCACCATCTGTTCTAAGGTTGAAGTCTTCCTTTTGTTGGCACGAATGTATCAAGAAGACAATATTTAAAGTACAGCATCACCAGGAAGTTTCAAACAGTCCCAAATCCACTTTCAGGACACCTGGAAATCCAAAATTAAATACACTTACAAGAGAGAAGGAGGTTAATCCAAAGAATCCAGGGAAAATGCACATCTGAAACCACTGCCAAACCCTAAGACTGCCTTAATTGAAGGGAGCCACAAGATTTTAAGTTCCATATTGCATCCGAGGAGGAGGCAGCATCGGAACAGTGGGAGCTAGTGCTCCTCTCTGGGGAGAGCTGAGCTCTCTCTCCACAGGCTCTCAACAAAGCCGTCAGCGCCAGCTTGCACCTTTCCACTCTGCTGCGGCCCTCTCTGTCCTTGCTCAGGCAGAAAACCGATCTCATTCAGTGCATATGGATTGACTTTCAGTCCTGAATTGAAAAATACACAGAAAACAGATGCCGGCTGAACATTTACCTAAAAGAAATGTCCCTGCGCTCCTAGATTCAACAGGCTTCTGGCCCCAGCTGCTACCCAGCCACGCAGAGACTCAGGAATTGAAGACATCAACAACTTCCGATCTGATAAGGATTTTTCACCTTCTTTCAGCCAAAAGGGCTACTGCCATCCCTGCCATTTCTTCACCTTGCTTCTAAACATCACCCAAGGTTCCTTCTTATGTCACTTTGCTCTTTTGTGGCTTAACTCAGCATCACCTTTGACAGCTAGACATGGGTCCATCCTTATTAGTGACCAACCTGACCAACTTCCACAGTGTTTCACGAACTCCTCGCTTCATATGGTTACATCAGAACTGAGCTTTGTCACAAGTGTAATATTTACGGCAGACCGAACCGTACAGAAGAACTATTCTTTGTGCAAACTTGCAATTCCTTACATGTTAAGGACATGGCGCTTGAAAAAATTCACTTCTCCACACCTGGTGACCACATAGCCATCTTCCATTCACCTCTGCATAGCCACCTGCTTTGCATTTGCATCACTCTGAAATCACAGGATTGCTTGGTATCACACCCTCTTTACAATTGCCCATTTGCTTCTTTCACTGTTACTCTAATTTCATTTGCAGGTGTTTGGCCATGAATACAAGCTGATTATCACTTTAGAGTGTCTTGATGTTGAAACTGGTTTCCCCATTCTGCCCAAGCCGGATTGGCAGATCCCTCAGAGAGGAGCCTAATGCCTTCTCTCAAATTTTACAGTAAATAAAGATATACTCAGTTTATTATCTTGTATCCCTCTTTGTCAGCACAAACCAACCTGCTGATTCATACAGACACAACCCCTAGGAGGTCTGGATGTTCCTTCCCCCTACCATCTCTCCCCAGATGTGTCCTACTTTTGACAGAGCGTAACACAGACTATATGAGCGAAAAACAGATGTCTCGAAAGCCTCCTGTTGCTGGAGCCACTGATCTGTTCTCAGCTGTCTGTCGGGAACTGAGACAAAATTCTGTTGCAAGAAAGCATATTCAGTACATTGAAACGGGAAGAACAGTCGCAGAGACTAGGCTTAAAGGAGACCTTGCAGGAGCGAACTTCTCTGCTTTGCTTCTCCTTGGGTAGTACAACACCGTGGTACACAGAAGAAAAGTAAAGATACCTGCATTTACTGGAGTCTTGCAGTTCTGGATACACACTAAAATTACACTCCAAGACTATGTGTCTAGATATTTATATAAGCACAGTTACTGTACCAATTCTACTGCTCTTCTCCTAACTCTACAAAATCTATTATTTTGCTAAAGAATATATTAGTAAGTACTGTATAATATACTATCACATAAAATTATGAATTTCATCCTTCGTGAAGAGAATAACTGCTTGGAGCGCAAATGAGCAGCTACCAATCTTTTCAGAAGTTGAAATACGAGGAGAAAATCCCATGTAAATAGCTCGTAAGTCAAATCACGTAATCAGGTACAAAGAGTTTGCAAATAAGAATGTGCTGGGCAACTGTCACATCAGTATAAACTGCAAAGAAGTACTGCATCATATCCTCTGAAATTACTGCTAAAGTGAAAACATAATAGTATTACATTAAAACCTTTAACATGAGTTTCTGTCATTATACATTTTCAACAGATAATTTATGAAGCACTTTTGTTCTAATTAATGAAAATCAAACCTTCTCAACAGGAGTCACCTTTCACAGCGGATGTGATGAATTTTGCTGACTGGAAACATATCAGAATAGCAGTATATCTCCACATTATGTGTATTATACATTTGTTTTCATCATCACAGAACCCATCCTTTATGTGATAACAGTCTGTGGCCCAGAAGATCTAAAGCTCTGCTCCCCACCCCCTTAAATTGCCTTTTATAGCATATTTAAAAAAGTAACAGAAAAAAGAGTTGTTGTACATTGCCTAAAATGTTATTGTTAACAACAGTGGGACGAAACAGGATAAGATCTTTCCCTTGACAATCAACCTAATTTTTCCCTAATACCAGAGCCAATTTGGCTACAGAACAATTCTCAAGTGCAACACTGGAAACCGCAAACTAGGGAAATCATTAGGCAGTACAGAGGAAACACCAAGTTAGCACAGCACAAGAAAGAGACCCTGATAATTTTCTTCTCAAGTTTCTGTTAATTTTTGCTTTGCTGTAGACCGAGGAATGTGTAGCTCTAAAGATATGGCTGTTGTGGGAATTAAATGTTTCATTCTGAACAGTTCATATATTTTTAATATGAAACCTGCTGGCTTCTCATTGTCATTTAAGCCCTTCAGAAGCATCTCAAATTGATTTAAATGAAAAATGCTAAAAGGTCAAAACTGGAATCAAATCAGTCTAAGGAAATAAATTACTTTTAAGGAAAATCACTAATCTTATCATTCATGTCCTTAAAACGCTGGTTAGAACATGCATCTCTCAAATTTACGTCTTCTACTCTGAGAGAAAATTTAACACCAGGTTCTGCTGGAATGCAAAGATTTTGCAACTAATCTACAGTTTCACTGATCCCCTATTTCTTTGTTTTAACAAGGGTAAAATTACTTAAGGACTGTTATTATGCCAAACTTCTGTGTCTGGGTTACAAAGATGATGATTATCAACAATTCCCAACTTAGTCTCCAGTGTAACTCCTCGTGTATAGTGCCAGTTTTTAGATCATTCATACCAAACTGAACAATATAAATGTATGCAAGCTTATTGACTCAACTTTTTCCAAGAAGCCTGGTCACTATAACGACAGAGGACCAAGCAGAGCTGATGAACAATAGCTGCTTGGACTAAGGAAAGTTTCCTTGGAAGATCCTTGGGAACACCTAAAATTATTTATCCACAAGCAATTATTATTAGTCCTATAGAAGAATCTGTTCCTCGATTCTAGGCTGAGTTTGCACCATTTGAAGCCCTCTCTTTCTACTAAAAATACTTTATTTTCTATTGTGGTGCTATGTCACAAAGTCTATGTCAGTGGTCTAAACTAACTATCTTCAAATTACATAAAGGAGAGAATGATAGCAAGGTATCAGTTTAGCTGGCTAATAATTCAGTGACAGTCAGACATGTAACTAAAGAGAACTTTGGCAACTGCCTCTATCTTCTCCATCAAGTGAAATGCATTCAAAATCAATTTTCAAAATGGAAAAAAAAATATTATAGCTGGCTTTCAATTTGAACACTTAACTGCATATAACCATTCTCTTCTTTACAGGAAGACTAAATTCACCTCCTATAGTTTCATCTTCCCAAACAATGTCTGGATTGAAGAAAAAGTGGTTTTGGGGTGGGTAGAGGGAAAGTGAGA